TCCGTCTCAAAAAAAAAAAAAAAAAAAAGAAAAGAAAACAAGTGGCTGTTGAGAGGCAGATAGGCAGATAGTGTATCAAAGGTTTATAACTTCTATTACAAATATTGAATCACTAGTATATTTACTTTTCCAATCTTGTGGAATGGGACTTAGAAACATTCTGACTTTACTACTGATAGAATTGCTTTGAGAACATCAAGAAAATCTTGGATGATAACTTAAAATTATCCAAAATCACTTGTTCAACTACAGATTAACCTCTCCTGATTTTGAAATTGCGTGCGATCTTGTATCTGATTCCAAAGGACACTGTTCTGTATTTAGTAGGAGCCATTGTGATAACATGAATTCAGAGTAATACATATGTGAAAACAGTACAAATGGGATTGGCCTTGTTATGTAACTAAAACCAAATAAAGTAACTCTTCAAGAAAATTTGTTTTTAAAAAAGTTTAAGAAGAAGATATATATAATTGATGTTTAGTAAGACTATATTTAAGAAGACATTTATCAAAAGCTGGCAAAAGGATTAGCTATACTGTGAAGAAAAGAGAATAAAAATGTTGAGTTTAACAATAATCTAACACCTGTATTTTGCCATTTCAAAATTAACTGGTTTATAGTAAACATTTAAAATGAGAAGTCTTCTTTATGTAGAAACTTTTGAATTTTTAACTTCTATGGGTCGTTTTAATGACAATATACTTTTTATGTAAAACCATCAGTAAGTGGTAGTAGTAGGCAAAACAGTAGAGAAGGATTTTTTTCAGTTAGAGTTTACCTTACTTGACATGTTGATTTGCCCCAACCACTTGCCCACAACCACATCATGGAATCAATGTTCAAGCGTTAGTTGTGGTGTCATTTTCAACTCTATGCAGTGGACCGCAGAAAAGTAAAGTTTCTTAAGTACAAAGTTCAGCTGCTTTCTCATTCCCTCCTTCTGTTGCAAAGATTATTCCCAAAATCAAATGAATAAAGAAGAGAATTATAGTCTGTATTTTAGGATTGTTAAAGGTTTTTCTGTTTCTGACAGTTTGGCTTTCTTTTGTCATTTTCTCACTTAAATGTTGTAAACTCAGAAAGTGCTAAGCTAAGATTCTTTATGTAGTGTTACACATGCCGTAAGACAATATTATTTTACCATGTCAAAGTTGTTTGCACCATTTGGAGCACATCTATCATCAAAACTCAATTAAATGGAGTCTTTCTATCTTCAACTAAAACAAACTGTTTACTTAGATTTACTCAGTGTTTACTTCACAAGAGGTAGAAGACCCAAATAGCACAGAAACATAGGTGTCTGGGGATATACCAGGGGTCAAAAAATTTAACCCAAAGAAGGAGGCCTTCTTTTCTGGTTGCAACAAGAGACTTTCTTTTTCTTTTGCCAAGTAAATGGCAGCATTATAATGTTATTCATACCTCACTGGTGTCCTAACAATTCCTCTATTCAAACTGAAAAGGGATATATTCTCTTTGTTGCAAAGTATTAAATTTGTCCCTTGAGATTAGTGTGTAGGCAGTTTTAAAGGATGAAACAGGATTAGATAAGGTTTCTACTGAGAAAGAGTTCTGAAACAGTACAGCAGAAAACCCTCTTGTGTTACCTGTATTGAAAAAAATCCTTTGCTTTAACACTTCAAATCACAAGTCAAATTTATTATATTATTAGTTGACAAAATGTTTCTTTGTGGGCTTTTGTGAAAGATAGGCAAATTACAAATAGAAAAGGAAATGACACTTGCCTTAATTGTATTTGAAATTTTATATCTTTGAAATCCCTCTATGGCATTTATAATTTAAATATGTTTTAAGAGATGATATTAAAAAGCTTATAGTAATTATAGTTATCTGCTTAAAGATTCAGAATGTTTCTGCCTCTCTTGATGGTGTTTAGAAAGGATAAAAATTATATTGTATATCTACTGAACTAAGTCAACATCTGTTAAGCTTAAAAGTGTCAAAATTATGTTAAGGGCAGTTCTGGAAAACACATCAGTGGTTCATTTGTGTTCCATTTACCTGTTTATAGTTAATAATGTTATTCACCACAGGAGGAAATGAATGAATACCATCCAGTTTTCAAGTTAAATGACAAAATTTGTTTTCTTCAGAAAGAAAAAAAATGACTTGTGATAATATATTACTTCTCTAGTTACATAATTTTAATGTTATAGACCCTTTCTAATTGCTAGTAAAGCTACTATGGGATTTCATGATTAAGTATTTGTGTTGGTCTTTTTTTTTTTTTTTTTTTACATGGAAGGGCAGAGACTGAGGAAGTCTTTCTAGAATGCAGTAGTTGCTTCCCTTTTGATGTTCACATTATTCTGCATTCGTGCTTTTTTTTTTTTAATGTTAACCACAGGGAAAATTTTTTGGCAAAAGAGAAAGATTTGCAATGAGACCCCCCAATTTTTGTTTTTTGTGAACTCAGTGTGAAAAAAAATCTTAGTTTAAGACTGAACATGTTTTTTGTCATGTGTACATATTTTAAAGCCTAAAAGAAAACAAAATTAGATTTATAAGATTTCTGCTAATAAAGCTTGAAGAAAAGTCCCTTTGTGTCTTGATTGCACCTTGTCATATGAAAACCAGGAAACCTTCTGCACACACTTCTCTTTTTCACCTTGCTGCTAGGTTATCAATCTTCTCATGGCATCACTCTGCTTACATCAACCCCTGCTCACAAATTACCTTGGTTTCCTATTGTCACCAGAAGAAAATTCAGACTCTAACTTGATATTCAAAGCCTTCTATAGTACTTCTCTAAGCCTTCCACCATCACCTTTCTGAGTTAATTGTATGCCAGGCTCATTAACATCCCCAACCTAGATTCTCTCTAAACTGTATTCTTAGCCAGTCCCATAAGTATTACTATGCCTTGGGTCTTTCATTTACATCACTCATACAGTTCTAGTTCCCTGTCCATCCTTTCGGTTTTTGCTTTGTCTATTTGCCTTTCACCTGCTGTTACCTTAGGAGAGTAAATATTTGCTTGTCTGTTTCTGATAGATACCACTGTGTTGGTCCACAATACAAAGACATCCTGATGTCATGTCTCTTGCCTTGCATGGAAAGTTTTAAGTCGTTTTTAGAAGTCTTCGTTATTTGGAGGCCAATAAACTTACCATTTTTTCAAGTTTCTGCATGCTCAGTGACACTGGAATGTCTTTAATGTTTCTTCTGATTTCCACTTATTCCTTCTAGTTCAAAATAAAAATGAAAGTGTTAATGTTTTCAAAATATAACTGACATAAAAAAGTTTTAAGTGTGCATTTGTTATACAAAAACAAACATCTGTATGTTTACAAACACTCAGATCTTAAACTAAATGTGTTTTACTATTTTCATTCCGATGTTCAAGGTCATAAAAATATGTACCTGAGATTTGATGGCATTATAAAACTAAAACGGAAACAAATATCCATATCTCACATTTTTATGGATGTCGGAAGCATTTCTATACATCTTTAAATCACATTTTCCCCTTATGTCCCATTTTGAATATTCTCTATTTAAGTTGGGCTTTATTTCTGTGAAAGGTGCTCTTTGCAAGTAATTTGAGAACTTTTGGGAAAACATAACACAAATAATAGGGGAAAATGAACAAATATTGGGTGGTGTTAAAATGAGAAATGAAAGATTTGAATAAATTAATACCATTGTTGAAAAGTGATTGTTTTTTCCTACTTTACTGCTCACATTAAAACATTCACTATAATTAGGAACACCTAGGCTGGCAAGTGGGATTGTTTAGTTGTCATTGTTTATGGTGATGCTGGTGTCGCTTACTCTGAATTTACTTAAGAACTTCAAAAATCATAAAAGCCATGCAAGGTATGGTCCTAGCTTATTGGCACTTTCAAAAGTCACTTATATTTGATAGTTTCCACCCAGTTCTACATTTGAAGGAGAAAACTATGCTAAAATTGTGTGACAAAAAAACTATCTTTTTACTACCTCAGGGCATTGGAAATCTGATATACAGTGTCTCCTAATTCAGTTATTGTCTATGATCCATAACGAAGTAAGCTTAATGATGAGAAAACTTGTACCCATAAGCCTTTGCCCAAGTTCACAGAGCCTGTTTATGTAAATCAAGACTATAAACCAGGTAAGTTCACTTTGTTGTCTGTTGTTTTTCTCTCAGCGAACTCTTGAAGTCCTCTTTGAGTAGCTCAGATAGATGATTACATTTTGTATAATATATACTTTATTTAGTTCAACATGGTTTAATTATTCAAAGATATTTTTGGTCAGATCAAGGGTGATTCTCGCAGCCTTGCTACATGAAATTTGTGCATAAAATCAGAGTTGACCCATCAGGTTGATTTAGCAGTTTAGAAGCAGATATTAAAGCAACAAATAGAAAATCTAATATCCAGAGAAGATGACCAAATATGGCCACCAAAGAATCTTCCCATCATTCAGAATCTTTTAAAAGTGGGCACTATTGATTTTTAATCGTGATAACAGCATCATTTCTTGAGTGTTTCCAATGTGCCATGAATTGTGTTTCCTACACATACAAACTTATTTCATTGTCTCAATGATACAATGGTTAGGGATTCTTATCCTCGCTTCATAGGCGAATAAACAAAGGCTCAGAAAACTCATGTTATGAATACAAACTTACTCATGTTATGAATACAAATTCTGATACTGAGAGTATCAGAATTGAGAGTTGAAGCCAGGTATTTCTTAGTTAAAACCCAAATTATTTACTGCTATAATCTCTGCTTAAAACTACTAATGCTAATACTAGTTCTAAAAATAATGGCTGATTTATATTGAAGATGCCCTATATATTAGCAGACATCAAATACTACATACAATATAACAACTATTTGAGGCTGGATATTATTATCTCTATTTTCCTTGGAGGATAAAAACTTAAAAAAGTTATGCAATGTCCTCAAGATTACTTGGTTAGAAAGAGGCAAGAAGAGGGTTTTAGCCTATGGAGACTGGCTTCATCCACTACTCCATGTTGCCTCTCAAGATCCCTGTATATCTATGAATACATTGCTGTTCTTTAAGTGTATTAGTCAGGAGAATATCAGCAATGTGTCATAACAAATGAATCCAGAATCTCAGTACCTTACAAGAGCAGAATGTTACTTCTCACTCATCGTTTGTCCATTGTAGCTGTGGCTCTATTCCAAATGTGCATTATAGGAGGCAGACTGATAAGGCAGCCTCTATCCAGACATGTTCTCATGACAAAGGGAGTAAAAAAGACACAGTCATTCATATACTGACTTTCACACTTCTGCCTGGAGGTTACATGGCCATTCCTGAGTCCAGCTGTGTGGAGACAGGTAATTCTTTCATGGTAGTTGGCTCCACAAGGACAGAAATCAGACTATTTTGGGAATGGTTGAGCTGGTGTCTGGCATAGTGCTGCCAGAATGTGACTATCCATGCATAAGGTGACAGGATACAACTGGGATTTTTTGAGTTTGTGCCTCTTTAGAAAAACTCAGCTCTTTGGTTACCAGGGAAAGATACACAAGGCAGTAGTGCAGGCTTCAAGAGTTATAACAAATCCGATGGGCTAATATAATATTATCTACTAGTATATGAGTGGCACAGTTTGTGGTTTAATACTTTCATCTGCTTAGGAAAGGAGACTCATTTAAAGGAACGTATTGATTGAGGAAGATATATATTATTGTATCCTGCTAACAGGTGTATTTAAAATGTCTTAGGTGCATTCAAAAACATACCTATGAGAATACATGTCTATTGGCATTTCTTAGAATAGGAGAAAAGAATGAAAATAATCTGCATAACCAGTGGTAGAATATTGGTTAAATGAATTACATGTCCATTAATGAAATTCTATATGGCAATGAAAATAAACTTTAAAGATATAGAAACTGTTCATTATATAGTAGAAAAATCAGATTATAAAACAATATTCTTTTATTTTTATATAATATGAATATATTTTTATATAAAAGACATATATTAGAAAATAATATATAGTGATAATTTGTGGAATTTTGCTTTATTTTATTTTGTGTAAGAATTTGAGGGAAAGGGGACCTTGTCAAGAGTTTACAAATTTTCTTCAACGAATACTTAATAATTTTAAAATAAATAAATAAATATTAATAAAATAATTAGATGATGAGGAATAATGTGCAAAGTCCAAGAAACTTTTAAAATCTCTATTTTTAAATAATAAGGAAAACAAAGAACTAAATTCAGATAACTCTTGATCATTTGTTAGATCGATCACAAAATAATAATGATCTTTTCTTGAATATTTCCCATTCAAAATTGGATTCACATTTTTTTATTTCCTCTTTAGACTTATCTTCTGCCCAAAGCCTTGCTTGTGCCTATGACTTCCACCACTCAGAGTTCCACATTAGGTTGGAAACTATTCATTTCTCTCTCCCACTAAATATCTGAAATTTGGTATCCTATAGCTAATATTTCTAACTCTGGGCTTCTCAATGCCCACCTGTTCTCCACATTGCAAGCAGAGTTTCTTTCATGTAATAAAAGTTGAAATGATACCTTTAGGTTTTTTCTTATCTTGGGTTATACTGGTTCCCCTTAATAGCCAGAATATTCCCAACACTTTAAATATACTTTTAACACAGCAAAACTTAAATTTTGCTGATTATGCTCCTTGGTTCTATAGTATAATTAATGTGTATTTACTGAATGTTAAGCCAGAGAACATCATAACTCGTACATTGCTGGAAAACTATTCTAGAAAACTTTACTAACGTATATATTTAAAAAGACTAAATTATTAGAAAACTAAGTGTGGAACCTTTTTAAGATTGTGGTCTTAATTTAAAGTAATTTGATCTAGGTTGAGGCTAGAAGACATCTTTAGAAACTATTTTTAAAGAATGGATGAAATTTATTTGTAATTACCATATCATTTTTTGTTTATGTACATGTTGCCAAAGTATTTAAGAGTGCTTGGGAACAGTTTCTTGTTTTAAAAATATTTATTTTATGGTTTTATTTACATTTACTAGCCTGGCAAAACCTTTCATCATAGATCTATGAGAAACACTGGTTTTCATGTAATTGAAAAAATATAAGCAAAGCTGTTATTTTGCATCACACAGACAAAAGAAAAAATACTCAGTTGCTTTTTAGAATCTAAACATTATAAACAGAAACCAATTTAAGATATGCTGCTTATATGTAGAGAGCAAGTCTTTCTGTATTCCTTCCTTGGTTAAATAGTTGCAAGGAATGAAGATTTATATATATATATCTTGATATGAGATGGATAGATAGAGATATATCCTACAGATATATCTATATAGGATTTTACATGTATAATTATATACCATTATAGATATATAATTATAAATATATACAAACATGTGTATAAGCATTTATGTAAATATATAGATACATAGGGTTTTTTTTTTTCCTTATATTTAAACATTAGAGACATGACTTTAGAGAACAGTAAAACACAGGTTGCATAGTGCTCAGAAAAGACCACTTATCCTAGGTAAATACAGGTAGACCAAATAGCTCTACTGGCATTTGTGGACAATGCCAAAGAGGAATATCAGCCTCTAAAAGCCTTGACTAAGCTCAGAAAAGTTATTCACTGTTAGAATGTAAAATTTACAAAATATCAAAAATTGGTTGCAGTCTTACATGTTGACAACTTTATTTGTATATTGGAGATAAAAGCAGTAGGAGTTCTTCCTATAAGCAACACTGTATTCTAAGCTCATTGAGCCCACGATGTCTGTCTCTAACATAGTGATGCTATCTATAAGTGTGCCGTCACATTACTTTGTAAAATTTACTGATATATACAAAACAAAGAGTGCTTTTAATAATCCTGAATGATGTCATGTTTCCACATTTCAATGGAGAACTTAAAGTTGAAGGTAGGCCTCAATTCTGATTCAATGTACAAAATACTTTTTAATTTCTGTTGTGAATAATTAAAGTAATACTTGAAGCACTCAGATTAACTCAGAGTTTTGTTTCAGCTTCTATTCTGGTTGCAAAAGTATGTCAGTTCTAAGTGTACCAAACTCACATGTGTTTGCTAACTTGGTTCAATGGATGATGCTGCCTAGAATGATCACTTTGAATTGAAATATGCTTAACCACACTTGAAGTTTTAAAACAGCAGTGTTTTTTAGGCAAGGTGAACACATGATAACAGTCACTGCATAGTTGTAAATTTCTTAAGTTA